ATGAACATCTATCCACATGTAAATTTGTGTTACTATGCGCCTTACATTCGATGAGATATTGGCTGTTACCCAGTCTCTCTCTTTTTTCCTCTCTTGTATAGCCCCCTTAAATTTCAAATGCCCGAGGTCTAATGGCCATTTCAAAATGCCCCATATCAATGTCTTTCTGATTACATTGATTGCTTTTCAATTGATAGAAGCCTGTTGTCACAGTAAACAAAAACGCATTTTCGGGCGTGGTCACGTGACTAATGACGTCATCACACTAAGTTTGATATGAGAGTTATTTTACGGTAAATGCTATTACCTTGTGGTGCTTCACCCTTCTGGGCCTCCAATTTACAAAGTTATTTGGCATTGAAAAATTTCCAGATGCAAAGGACTCTGGGAAGGTTCTTATCATTATTATATATTACTTTTATAATTATTATGTTGGCTGCACTGCAGAGAAGATTAGCTTAGCTGCCTGGGCGAATTGCCAGCTTATCTGGAGCGATCGTTCACGTTTAACGTTTACAAAGAACAGCCTCAACCTTTTGAACCCAGATATCTATACCGTATTTCATCTATTTACGGCCCTCCCTCTTATTAAAACTGCCTTCTAACATCCCCCCCCCCCCCCACCTCCCCCTCCTTTACGGCATATAAATATAAATGTTCCGGTTTTGAATAAGAAGCTAAACTGGGTCAAGGTGGCTCACAATACCCTAGACCTTCCCATCCTTTGGCATTCTATCACACTGAACTAGGCCAATGATAGGGATGAAGAACTGAACGTTTAGTATAAACCTGTAAAGCATTTATGAAAGAACAGAATCAGCCTGATGCGTATGACGTCAAAATATGTTGTCATGGTAACGTCAAAGAGATCATTGACGTTTCGAGGCAACTACTTGGTGAGATATTTTTGTCTTATCGGCAAAACACACATATACTTTGTAACAATAGAGTTTTCTCGTAAAATAAAGTTTATTCAAATTTAAAAAATCAAGAGTTTACAGTTGGTGATACAAAATCTAGCCTGCTGCCAACCCATGTCCACTCGACTTGGCAATTTTGTATTTAAAGGAATCCCCGACTGTTGGAACAAGTTGCCGTTAAAGTGATAGAAAAATAATCTGAACCTAAAATTTGTTGAAAACCGCGCAATATTATTTCAGTGTTAACGAAAAAACTGGCTACAAATCTCTGCCATTTAATAATAAGTAGTTTATAATAAGTAGTTTTGTTAAGCGCTGTTGGTTTTTTAGTAGAAACGGCGCTATATAAATAAAGATTATTATTATTATTATTATTATTATTTTAGGTTTCAAATTACCCGCGCGCCACCATCTTGGATTTTATGACGTTTCATGGTTGTCCCTTTTGTTATACAACAAAAGAGCTATTGTTTACTGACAATAGCGGCAACCACAATACGTCATACTGAATACAAAATGGCGGCGCGCGGGAAATTCAACCCCCAAAATGGCTGATATGTGTATCCAATTATCCCGTACAATTGAACGTTTTTCCAATTTATTTCAACAAATTTTCAGTTTAGACAATATTTCCAACAATTTAACAGCAATTTGTTCCAACAGTAGAGGTTTCCTTTAAACTCCTTTTTGTCATCTTTATTCATTCCTTAACTGACATATGCCATTTCATAAAAAAAACACATCATGCCTAAAAGAAATATATCAGTGATAATAAACAATAAATGCGGCAAACTTATAATTACAGCAAGGAAAATTTGGAAACGAGAGGTGGTATAACACACGACCCGTATACAACAGACTGATTCAATAAAATGGAAACTGCTGACTCCCTTGATGGCGGGCAAATGGTTCGTGGAAGTAACAAGGAACCGGAAGTGGTTGCTGTGGTGCTAGATACTGCGCATGCCCCAGAGCGTGAACTTCAGATGGCACAGGTAGACCAGGTTTTGATTTCTGTCTTCGCCAGCGGAACCGTCGCTTCTTAAACCAGTTCTAAAGAATTGAAAAACATTTTGAAATGGAAATAAGGTCATAGCTATGTAAAACAAATAACTGTTAAATATAAAGAGGTTTTTCAATTGAGTGTCGTAAAACCAAAACCAAAGCAATTACAATGGACAATCACAACAAACGTAAACAACACAATGAACCAATGAGAACTCGAAGCAAATACACGTGACCAGCGCCAAGCGCGGGAAAACGCGTGCAACCAAGTCGCGATTGGTTTTGGTTTTGCATCTGATTGGTTGAGAAGGTGGCGCGAGGTTTTTTTTAAACAATCACAGAGCGTAGTAAAGCAAAACCAAAGCAATTTGGCGATTGCTTTCGACAGTCAATTGAAAATCGCTTGATAGCGCACGGTGAAATTTAAAATTACCTTTTTGTGTCTCCAGTTTCGCGAGGAATTTATTTTCGCTAATTTCGTGAGTGGTTATT